GTCCATTCTGACTCGTAGGGACCCTATAGTATAGGACAGGGTAGAACTCCCTATGGGTTACCAGGACTAACTCTTTACAGGAGTAGAAAGCCTCATCTTCCTCCCAGAGGAGCGTAGGATGATTTAGAGAGCTGACATTGGGGTTAGTTGCCTAACATAACCAGTATGCCACCTGTTGCTGTTAGGTACCATCCAGTCAGTTCACACAATGACCTTATATGCAACAGAACTAAGAGCAAGACAGTGAAAAGGCATAGGCGATCCACTTCTGAAGAATTAGCTGCTGTAAACCTGCAGATAGCAACGGAACATTGTCAGATATGCCACCTGTAGAATTTATTCAAATCTGAGCTGCTGATGGAAGTTACCTTTCCACTTGTCTGTTAAGGGGACAAATGATCCAGGCTCAAGCCTTTCTCAAAGTTTATGAGCCAGGTTACCCAAGTATAAGGCTATAAAGGAAACTGGGTTTGGAGTACCCTGAAGGAATGTGTGGTAAACTGCAAGATTCAGAAGGGAGAAAATTTTAGGGTAGTATTTTCACTGGGTGCATTATAGCAATACCAGTCTCCTGGCTGTTTAACCATTACAGAGGCCATGTAATGTCACTATCTCCTCTATATTTTTATGTGTAATTATGGATACAGGCTTTTTGTTACTAGCATACAACTTGATTCCAGCTTCCAATTGACATTCAACCAACTCTGACTCAGTGACCCCATAGGACAGAGTAGAACTGCTCCCTAGGGTTTCTGAGGCTATAAATCTGCAAGGTCAACTGGGAAGAGATATCCTCATCTTTCTCCCAGGAAACAGCTGGTGGGTTTGAACAGCAGACTTCTGATTAGCAACCCAATGTGTAATCCTTTATGCCATCACGGCTCCATATACACCTTAACTGTTGTTAGGTATAATCGAGGCAGTTCAGACTCATAGAGACCCTATGTACAACAAGAAAACACTGCTCAGTACTGCACCATCCTCACAATTGTTCTTATGTTTGAACCCATTGGTGCCATTATGTCAATCCATCTTATCAAATACCTTCTTTTTTTTTTTTCCTATGCCCCTCCACTTACCAATCATGATGTCTCATCTTTAGGGACTGGCCTCTCCTGATAACATGTAAAAGGAACTTTCTGTATATATAAAAAAAAGAATGTTCAGAAAGAAAATGAAGTTATGAAAACTTGAGAGAATAAAGTCTGCAGCCACCAAAAATCTGACTTGAAAGTTGTTAGGTGCCATCAACTCATAGCAATTCTTTTTTTTTTTTTTAACAAGAAAGAAAAGCTTGTAGTTAGTTCGAGGATTGTTTGTTGGCTGTTAGGAGTGTTTTCCAGTCCAGTCTGTTGGGGCACCAAGCCCTGGCCCCAAAGTCCACCTTCAGCATTCCCTGGGGACCTCACCGCTCCATTCCCTTGCTGTTCTGTTGCATCCCCTTAGTGTTTTGCCTCGGTGTGGTGGGATCAGATCGGGTGCAATTCCCACACTGTGTCTCCAGTGTTGTCCCCTGTAAGGCTATGGGTCAGTGAGGGGAGTCATGTCTCATAGTGGGGTCGGTCATGTGGTCCTCTCTGTGGACTGGCTGCTCTAATAGGGAACATAGTCCTCACGGCCTGGTGGGCCAGGATGTGCTCCACTCTCTCCTCCTCCCCCTTCATCTGCTCCTGTGTGCTCTGATCAGATATGTCCCTCTCCCCGGGCTGCGGATTCAATGCCGTCTTTTGAAATAAATTCTTCTGCGGGGAGGGGCAGGTGTTCACTTAGTATTTGGAATTGGGGCTGGCCCCCCAGACCTCTCCACTGGTTCCCTACACAATTCTTATATAGAGTGTAATGTATAGTATATGTAAACAATGCAAATCAATATTTGACATAGTGGTTATTTGTTGGGCTGCTATCTGCAAGGTCAACGATTTGAAACCACCAGCTTCTTGGAGGGAGAAAGACGTGCCTTTATATTCTTGTCATATAGGGTCACTATGAGTCAGCATTGACTTGATGGCAGTGAGTTTGAAGGGATTTGGGATTTTTTTTAGTTTTTTGTAAGGATAACCTGTATATGCATATTTTTAAATATGCATGGGGAGAAGGATGTTTATTACTGGATAGTAGAATTAAGAAGTGACTTTGAAAAACTAGCATCTTAGTATTGAGCTGATACTTACATAATTTCATGTCAATTTGAAGATGTATAAAAATGGACTAGTATCAAACTTGTGGACTTAAGGCTAGGACTGGGCTAGGATATTTTCTTGATACATAATTATGTCTTGATATAAAGCTCTTTCTTACACATATGAGTGTCTCTGGATTTGTTTCTCTGGCCTAGCATACGGACCCTATGTTAAAAATACATGTACATATAGGAGAAAGTTACTGGAAGAAACTATGCCAAGATGAGGCATCCAAGTAAACTATTTTAGTATTTTTCAGTGAATGTGGGTCATTTTTCCATGAAAATATAGTTTATAAAAAATGTTAGTTCCAACACATTCCACATTCAGAGCATAAATATGACCATGTGTTGAAAATTCTTTCTTCTGAGAGCTCAATCACCCTATCTAGAAAGTCCTTCATATTCTGCACTCCATGAAATCCTTTGGGTTTCTTTATGAACATTTATTACCTTTAGTACTTATGTTTTCTTAGATACTGTTTTTTCCCCTGCTTGTGCTATAAGATACTCAATGTGCCTTAGTTATGTTAGAACCTTTTGGAAGTGAGAAGAAATTTAGAGTCACTAGGGCCAAGTGGAGTTTATTGTGTGCTGTCTTACCTTTCGTTTCCCCTTTCTGTTTAGTTAATTGAGTTTTTAGTGTGCCATGTGCCCGTTCAATGAGGGCTTGGCCTTGGGGGTTGTATGGGATCCCTGTTATGTGATGAATATTCCAGTCTTGGCAAAAATTGTGGAACCTCTCGTCAGTGTAGGCAGGGCCATTGTCAGTCTTTAAGTGTGTAGGAGTGCCCATAACAGCGAAGCAGCTCAGCAAGTGGCTGATGACATGACTGCTGCCCATAAAAATCCTGAGAAGGTGTCTATGGTCACATGCACAGCTCCTGGGTGTCCAAATGAGGGTATGTGAGTGACAGATTGCATTTGACTGGTCACCACGTGGGTTGACTCCGTCAGGTCCTTCTCTAAGTGAGGCGTGCTGGCATCGAGGGCATTCTCTGACGACCTGCTTGGCCTGTGCCCATGTTAGGTGATATCTATCCCTAAGGCTGGCAGCGTTGTTGTGTAGTCTTTGATGTTCTGCCTGTGGGAGCTAAAGAGTAATGAATGCCTTTTGTGTTAGCATGTCTGCATTAGCATTTTCCAGGGAACTTGGTCCTGGTGACTGTGTGTGTGCTCTTGTGTGTCCTATGAAGAAAGGATGAGAGTATGTTCTTACCTGATTCTGTAAAGTGAGGAACAATTTGCCAGTGTCAGAGTGTGGATCTACCTTCAACTTTGCTGTTTCAATAAAGGAACAGACTTGCACTGTGTAAGCAGAGTCACTGATTATGTTGATAGGCTGCTTCATATCTTTAAATAATAAGATGATAGCAAATATCTCTGTGTTCTGAGCAGAGGTGTAACAAGTTTGAAAGGCATGAGAGGAGGCACCCCAGTAGGCTGCCATGCCATTACTGGAGCCATCTGTGAAGTAAGTGGGGGCTCCTGTAATTGGCTTGTGTGAGAATACTTTGCTGCGGATCCTGGGCGTCTGCTTTAGAAAACACCAAAG